AAAGGTAAGGCGCCTGTTTGGAGGAGGGACTGCAAGGACTGCGATGCTTTGAAAGGTGCATTGCGAGCTGTGGACCCTTCGATAGACGTTATAGTATACCTTCCCAACGATAGCAGGCTAACCGTACTTAGTAGCAGGGGAGAGCTCACCCTCCACAACCATCCAGTGTAACCATATGATGATGGAACTCATGCAGTGCTGGACGATGGGATATAGTAATAAGTGATATACCAAGTTGACCACATAACTTGAAGAGCCTTCGTTCCATCTTAATACTCACCGCCGAAGTACACTCGTCCAAGATAGCAAAGGTAGGCCTGTGCCAGAATAGTCGTGCCATTGATAATCTCTGCTGCTCCCCTAGAGATAGCCGGGAATCCCAATCGATAACACCTACCAGGAAGCTGCCTATCGCTAATGCAGTCCAAGGACATACTATTAAAGTCATTGAGATGAGATAGTTCAACCAGGCGTAGTAACGATACCAGCTGCCCCTCATCTGGTCTGTTGCTATCAGGATAACATATGTTATCGGAAAGGGTGCCCACAACACAATAGGGCTTCTGGGGTAGGTAGAATACATAGCTATGAAGGCCAACTCCTCCCCTACTACCAGGCCTAGTGATGGTACCTGATATATCAATTATAATCTTGCCGTCACTCGACTAAGCTCAACTTGCCACCACTTATAACTCTTCGTTGGCCTACCTCGCTTAATATCCCATAGACCACCCAAGCACCGGAAAATACTAGATTTCCCAGCACCATTCGGGCCACATATAATGACATTATCCCCTCTGCTGATACGGAGGTTGAGGTCCGTAACCTGGGCCGAGGCAAGTAGTGCCTCGCGAGAGAAGACTCCATTACTAGACGATGCCCCGTGGGAGTATCGATATCTACTCCCTCGAAAATGACTTCAGCCGCTTCGGCGTCAGCACTGAACCTCCTCCGAGTTGCCTCGGCCTTAGCTTTGGATGAGGTCAATGCCTTCCGATCCTCCATCTCTATGACCTATGGTCTAATATAACCAACAATAGCATCATCATCATCACTACTACCAGCCTCCCACAACGATCCACCAAGCCTGCCAGTCGAGCTAGTGTCCCTGCTAGTCTGGCGAATTGGGCACATGCTACCAGTTCCATGAGGAGCATGTCTGTCAGATATCTG